AATCCACCATGGGACAGAGGATACACAAGTGGCACCCATGCCAAGCAATGGGCCTAAATTGACACAGATCAGAACGCTCTAAGAGAAATTTGTTGATAATAGCTCAACTAATAAAAGTACTTGATAGTTCTGAATATATGGACAGAATATATGCTGATAATTAGCAGTTTGGGACTGAACTAATGATAAATATTTAGAAACTACATACACATTGAATGGCTATATAACAAAACCTAAGAAAGCAGGGGGAATTTTGGGGAATAGCTGTGGTGTTTGTCAAAAAAAAAAGCTAAATCTACATCATCTATAGTAGTATGTCAGAAGGTAATGTCTAAAATTTTCTAAAAAACAAGAGACAGAAATAAGTAATGTAGAAATATGAAGGTAAATACCAAATACCTAAAGATACTGATGTCAGGGTTTTAAAGTTATCCAAAATAACTTTATTTTGGCTGAGATAGACACCTTGTCTTACATTGCACCCTTCCTAGGACTAAACAAAGCGAGGGGGAAAAGGCCCAACCATTTTGGTGCACCATCATGCCAGTTTGATGGGAAACATTCTGGAGAACCTGTGACAAAGAGATATGAACTGTTTTTAATGATAAGCCATAGAGAAGTAGTTGAAACTTTAAACATGTATCCTTGTTTCTTTTACCTTTGACAATGATAACAGAAACAGAAAAAATAAACTGCTTAAAAAGATTTTCTAATTTCAGTAATGTGGTTTCTTATATTGTAGAGGCAAATGTGATTTAAAACTAATGTATGAGTTAAGTTAAAACATACAATTTTGACTAGAAGCACAAAGATCTTAAAATCAAATTCCAAAAGGAAGAAAAGAAAGAATGAGGGTTTTATTTATGGCAATGGCCAACTCTCCTGCTGAGACCAACAAAAAACCTCCATAATAAAAATGAAAGAAATAAGGAATAATAAGGTGATTAGTCATTACCCTAAATTACATTCCAAAATCTATGAAAAGGTGAACCAAAAATAAACCACACACTCAGTCACTTTTATTTTGAGGACATTTGCCTATCTAGAAGAAAAGTCTGAGAAAGAAGGTTGAGCCACTGGAGGCTTTCCTGGAATATGGTAAAAATACAGGGTCCACCAAAGCTAGGGACTCAGACAAATCATCATCACTTTAAATGCAACATCATTAGGATAAAGGAAAACTGAAGTTAAGTGGAAGTCATATGAACTTGAAGCCCCGTTTAATGTCAAGTGTATAACAGAAGAAAACCAAAGTCTTAAACATGAATAAAGTGACGTGGGACAGACAGCACCCTTAGACATCTTTCCTAGAAAAATGCACCTTAACAAAGATATCATTATCCTAGGACTTACATATCCCTATAATTTTCAAATACAATTGGCACCCAAGAAAAAAAACATCATTAGCCAGCAGAAACAGACACAAAAAATTTAAAAACTGGAATTATCTGTTACAAACAACAAATGAACTATGAATACAGTAGGCCTCCTGTATCCACAGATTCAACCAACTGTGTATTAAAAATATTTAAAAAATAAAAATACAATAAAAAATACACATAAAAATACAGTATAACAACTATTTGAATAGCACATAGATCATATTAGGATGTAAGAAATCTAGAGATAATTTAAAGTATATGGGAGGGTATATGTAGGTTATATGTAAATGCTATGCTAGTTTATGAGACTTGAGTATCTATAAATTTTGGTATCCGAGAGGGGTCCTGAAACCAATCCCCCATGGATAATGAGGGATGACTGTACTATCCCAATAAAAATCAAGATTGCAATTTTCAACAGGTAACTAGAAACATTTAAGAATGGACATAGCCAATATTTTTTTTAAAAGATACTGATGTACTGATTCGAGAAACTCAGTAAATACAGAGGACAAAAAATTCCACACAAAAACATAGAGCAAAATAGCAGAAAAACTATGACAAAGAAGTTATTTTAAAAGACAGCTTTCTTTCACAGCAAGAATTAGATCAACAATTTATGCCTCAAAATCAATTATGGAAGCCAAAACTAGAGGAATGTTACACTCAAGGTGTAGATGAAATAAATAGCTACAAATCTATAATACCCCCTAAAACATTCTTCAAGATTGAAGGCAAAACAAAAAATTGAAAGCAAAGATTTAACAGAATTGATCAGAATTTCTGCATTATGGAACCGCTAAAGAGTACATTAAAGTAAATGGAAAAAGATCCCAAAAGAAAAGTCAGAGATGCAGGAAGAAGAACAAAGAAAAGTGGTAAACATTTAGAGAAATCTAACTCAAAATTCGTGGTAGAGAACGGTGTTATCCAACAGAAATACAATACCATCCACATAAGTAATTTTAAATTTTCTAGTACCTAAATTAAAAGCAAAACAAGATGAAATTAATTATAATTTCAACATAAAATCATAAGGAAAAGCCGAGGTATTTTACATTCTGTTTTCATACTAAGGCTTTGAAATCCATTGTTGATTTTACATTTACAGACCATCACAATTCAGATGCTAAAGTGTCATCAGAAAATAGTTGATCTACATTTTTATAAAATTTACAGTTGACAAAGTAGATTTACATGTCTAAGCTGTTACAAACATACAAAAAGTTTTACAGTAACTGAATTAAGTATCAGTTTTCAAATTTAAATCAACACTAGAAAATACTAAAAATTCAATTCCTTGGTTACACTAGCCACATTTCAAATGCTCAAAAGCCATATGCAGCTCCTGCCTACTGTACTGGATATCACAGGAAAACTTGTTTCTTGGAGTTAAAATTACATATAGAATTGAAATAACAACAATAACAGCATATAAGCTAGTTAAAGACCTAAATGAAGATAAATTTTATCTAGGAAGAAGTAATGTTCTAAGCACAGAGAAGACAGTTGCCACACTGCTACAATCTTTGAGTAAAACAGACAACCCAATAGAAAAACTGCACAAAAGATCTTAATAGACAAAAAGAGGAAATTAGAGGAAATTAGAAGGAAGAAATCCAAATAGCCAGTAAGTTTTACAAAAAGTGCACACACTCATTAGTATCCAGGACAGAGTAAATTAAAACAACAATAAGATAAAGCTTCATTTATCAAGTTGGCAAAAATGAAAATAAACTGTTAGTGAGACTGCAGAAATAAAAAGATCTATCCTATAGACAGATTAAGATCAATATACTCCTGTGAGAAAATAAATTGCCATATCTACTTTGGAAAAGTTTGGCACAATCTAATGAGGCTGAAGATAAACATATCTACTCTATAAAAATACATGCTTAGGTACACAAGAATATATGTATAAGAACATTCATAGCAGCACTGTTCATAATTGCTAAAAACTAAACACAATCCAAATGCCTATTAATATCAGACTAGTAAGATTAATCATGGCTTATTCCTAATAAGACTTACTCTACTATAGACATTACTATATTTCAATAAAAATGTATGAGCTACAGTTAAATATACTAACAGACACAATGTACATAATATATAATCCATAACAAGCAAAACTAATGTAAATTATTTAGGAATGCTGACATAGGTGGTTACAAAATACTAGAAAGAAAGTGCTAAATAATTACCATAAAAATCAGGACAGTGTTAACCTCTGGGAAAAGTGAGAAGGGGAAATGATCAGGAATGGATGAGGTAAGGGTGTTTCTCAGGTGCCACCAAAGTTCTAATTCTTGATCCTGGCAGTGGTGACTGAGTTCACAGAGTAATAGTTGCTCATTACCCTACACATCTACGTTTTGTGCCATTTTGTTTATTTAGTATTTAACCATTAAAAGGTTTCAAAATTGTATCTAAGGCACATTCACTGCCTTGCTATATTTTTTCATTATATAATGGTATACATTTGGTTTCCATATAAAGAAAATTTTAAGGCACAAGCATGATTAGTGTACACACAGAAGGCAGTAAACACTAGGCAATGGTGCATGAATACGGTCCAATGCCAAAACTTGCAGGAAAATTAAAAAAAAATTAGTAACTTTAATTGATAGTGCACTCTAAAGAACTCACACTACAGAATTAAATAATACCAACACAATAAAGATGAGGAATTTCTGATTCTTAGTTAAGAAAAAAGTATACACATACATAGGTGTTGATCCTTCAAAGTACCTTCATAAAAGAAGATAACTGAAAGACTGGAATGCTTTAAATCAAAAATATATGAAATGAACATGAAAAAGATTATTTTACTATAAAAGATCTACTAATATAAATTTATAAATCCTTTCTTAAATATTTGGAATTAATTCCGATTTTTTGATAGAAACATTTTCAGCAAAAATGGGTAGTAGAAACCAAACGCTAAGGATAGTACCCCAAGAAACTTAAGATGAAACACCCATTTTAAAACTCTCATCTGCAATACAGGAAGAGAAAACTTTGATCCTGTCCCTTCTCTCTTCATCAACTGTACAACTCAACATCAAGGATTACACAATCCCTCATCCGTGTCTGAGAATCAGCACAGACCCCGTGTTGCAGCAACAACGTAAGACATGGAGGGAAATTCCACTCAAGACTTCCCTGTCTGCTCCTTCCCCAGAGCCATTCCAGGGAGGGTTGTGAGGTAAGGAATGAAGGGCGCCATACCCTATGCAAACAATGTATCTGAGGGATCTGGTTAAAATTCACACACCGGGCTTGTCTCTGTCCCTGGATATTTCCCCTGCTCTCTGCAGTCATCAGAGTTAACTGCTTAGGCTCCACAGATTAATTTCTCTCTTGCATCTGGAGCATCACATTCCTCCCCCATTTGCAGAGCTACCGTAGTATCCTCAGGATTCCCTGCAGTTGTCAGGGATTCGTCTGCAGGCTCACGGGGAGGCCACGAGTCAGAGCCCGCCCGGTCCAGGCCTGCTCGGCCTAGACAAGCCTGCCCCCTTCCCACATTCCCAGGCTCCAAAGCCTTCCATCCTTCTCCTTTCGGTTCGCCTTTTACCACTGGCCTTCGTTTGAGGTTAGCTTACCCCACATTACCTGTCGCAGAAAAGCCTGACTTTTCTAGGGCAAAGCAGGGAACCAGCGACTGCAGTAAGCGCTTCACAGGATCGCCTCACCCTGTCCCCCGCTCGGCTTCACCTACTGATGCCAACAGTACACAACCACTCCCGGCATGCTCAGCGCAGGCACCGCCTCTCTCACCCCGCCCTCCTCCCGCCCCAACACGTGACTACCTTTCGCTTGCATCCACGCCCACTTCCGTTCCTCCACTTTCTCTTAGGAGGGAGGAGGGAGTTGAGGGTGTTAAAGAGTAGCAACTTCCTCCTCCTTCCCGCCCCCGCCCCTCTACCCCCTGCTACAATGTCTTCCGGGTCGCGGGCGCCTCGGAGCCTTCTGGGAAAACATCTCATTTCCTCCCCTCCCCCTCCTCCTGCCTTCAACCAACCAGCCTCCCGTCAGAAAGGGACATGCGCAGTGAGTGCCTCCCGTCTCTTCTACCCGAGCCCCCCCTCCCCCCGCCAAGCAGAGAGACCCCAGCAGCAGCAGCAGCTGATGATGAAGAGAGAGGCAGTGGCAGAGGGGGGGCACCTTTTATTTCTATTTTTAAAGGGACAGGACACTAATTCTACCCCACTTCAACCTTGAATTGAGGGGGGTGGGGGGAAGGCGGCTGAGTTCCTTCCCCCACCCTCCAGCCCTGAGCCCTGAGAGGGAGATTGAGCCTGAGAGAAGGAGAAGGAGTTTCTTCTTCTTCGAAAACCCCCATCCACGACTCCTACCCCCTCACCCCTCCAACTCGCTTCCCTCCCGAGCCCCCTCCACCCTCCTCCTCTTTGGCCGTGAGAGGAGGAGAGAAAGAGACCAAAAGCCTCTTAGCAACACAGACCCTTTGCTGCTGCTGCTGCTGCTGCTGCTGCTACTGCTGTTGCTGCTGCTGCTGCTGCTACTGCTACTGCTGCTGCTTGGCCCTGGCTGGAGACATCTCACTACACCCAGGAGCAGCCACTTCCCCAGCTCTCCTCCTCCTCCTTCGCCTCCTCCTCCTCCTCCACTCCCCCCCTTTATTACCCTTTGTGTCATCTTCCACAGCTCCAGGGAAGGCACTCAAAAGTGGGGGGCAGGAAAGGTAAGTGTGTCTGTGGGGGCTTCATTGCCTTCCTCTGGCTCTGACTTTCACTCCGGGGCAACAGTAGCACCAAACCACATACGCAGTGGAGCTCCGGGGTGAGGAGGGGGTGGTGCTGGGGGGGGGGAGTGAAGGAGGGGTTGGAGTAGGGAGGGGTGTGTGAGGTGGGGTGCTCATCCTGTCAGGGAAGGAAGGGCACTTTTATTTTTATTTGCTGTTGTCAAAAGTGGTTTCTCTCCTCCAGCTAACATCTGATTGTGTCTTGCTCCAGTGGGGGAGAATACAAAAACAACCCCCTCCTTCCTCCAATGAGGCGCCAGGGAAAGAGACAGAAAGAGGCACACTTTCTAGATGTCACTTAAAAAAATTCATTTGGGGAGCTTTTTTCTCTTTCCTCAGGAAAAGCTCCACTGCATTTGTTTCTGAGTGGGAAAATGTCGGGATCTGGATTGTATTGGAACTGCTTATCCATTTGTAGACCTGAGTGTTATTCCCTTTTTGGTTCTGTATGTGATTTGGATATTGACTTACTTCAGTGTTGGAAGACTTGATTGGTTTTTGCTGTAGGGGTTTAATATTCCATTTTTTGTTTTGTCAGACTTGCATAGAAAATTTCAAATTTTTAGTTGATAGAGGCCTTTGGTTAGATTTTGACTTGTATTGTTGCTCTTTTTGTTAAATGTTTGTTTCATGTATCAGTATATAAAGTTCAAAGCTCCAAAATGCTTAAAGTTTAAATGCCCCTGGTATTGTCTATTCCCACATGTATTCCTGATGCTTATTTTCGATAAGATAAGAATATTAGTTGTTTTCTAATTAAGCTGGATATTTTTGTAATCTTTGTAACTTGTCTGAACAAGTAATCCCCATTGAAAACTTTATGTTGTTCTGGCTGCATGGAAGGCCAAACCTCTCCATCAATAGTTTGTTGGATTGGTACCACTTTCAGTTTTAACTGAATTATTTATTGTAAATTGAGATGAGTTTTTCATCTCTTCGGGTACTGAACCAAATTGCTCACTATATGTGAAAATAAAAATTTCAAAAATATGTTTTCATGAGCCGAAGAAATCATGAAATTGTAGTTAGTAGATTAATGGTAGTTAGCTATAGATTGAAAGATAAATCCAGGTTTAGGTTTATAGAATAACAGTATTAATAAAAATTACTATTCTCCATTTTTACATGGTACATTCTTAGTAAATAGCTTTTAAATTCAGTGCTGTATTTTATTTCACAAACACTAGAAAGTCTGTTTCTGATGTAGGCCTTTTACTAGGGCCTATATTGGAAAGTGGTATTTTGTTTCATTTATACATTTCTTTATCCATTACTTGAAGATGGATGCACACATGCATACACACACTCTCCCTCTGTCTCTTTCTGTTTCTCTCTCACACCCTTTTTTGTAACTGCATTGGTATCTCTGATCCCATAATTTATGTCAGCAAAAAATATTCTTCTCTAAAGCAGCAATTTTATCAGACTGGCAATATGAAAACAGCAATTTGATCAACTAGAAAGGATTAAAGAAATATAAATCTAGAAGGATATTTCACATAAATATTATAAAGACATTATAATATTTATAATTTTTTATTTTCTTGATGGTAAGGCCAAGACATAACATACTAAGTTTTAGTGACAGAAAAGCAATGCATATGTAGAAACTTGTTCTGTAAAATTTTAATTACCAACTGTGTGCAAAAGTAGACATTTACACACAGAAGATAAAAAAGCTATGTAGCAGTAAGCAATATGGTCTTATTTTCCTTGTTTTTGTTATAAACTTGAACAATTTCTTACCTTTCTCTGAGGTGTAATTGGTGCACTTCAGCAGAAATCTGTGCCAAGTTTAAGTTTTTCCTCCCAATGTCAATATTACTATTCCATCTTCACCTAATTCTTGTCCTCACCTTAAAACCTCAGCAACCTTAATGTAAGAGATAGACTGCAGAATTTAGTGAAAGAATAAATTTTAAGTTAAGTGAATTATGTAGGTAATTGGGGTGTTGGTTACCCAGTAGGCAGCTGAATAAAAATGTACAGTCTTTAGTTTAAAATCTTTACTTTGTTTCTACTTTCCTTTGAAAACATTCCTTTTGCCACCACCCCCAGATTAATCCTTTATGGTTGCTTCCAGACTTTCTCTAAGTTGGATAGTTATTTATGTTTAGAAAATCATTTATTGTATTTTTATTATGGCTTATGGCTTATTTTTTTAAGTATTAAGGTGTATTGATATTTAGGATTGTAAATTTTCAACTAGGTGGTATCTTGGAGGTCACTTTATTCAACTTTACTTATTGGTGAAGTTTAGAGGTCTTGGTGAAGTTTAGAGCTCAAGGTTCTAAGGCAGGCGTCCTGAAACTACAGCCCGCAGGCCACATGCAGGTGTTTTTGCCCATTTGTTTTTTTACTTCAAAATAAGATGTGTGCAGTGTGCATAGGAATTTGTTCATAGTTTTTTTAAAGCTATAGTCTGGCCCTCCAACGGTCTAAGGGACAGTGAACTGGCCCCCTGTTTAAAAAGTTTGAGGACCCCTATTCTAAGGCCTGTAAATGCAGAGCAGTAACCTAAGAACTCGGGTCTTTTGGCGGTCGTATGCTACACTACCTTATTTTCCTTTGTCAAATTAAAATATCATGGACAATTCTGTGTATAGCATTTAAGGGTTTTATATGGAGTCATGTTCTTCTAAGAATATTAAGGTAAATAGCTTTAAAGCCGTAACTTTGTCCACTTATAATTCAATAATTTGTTGACTAAGAATACTAATTTCACTTATTGTAGACTGTTACTGTTTTGAGAATTATTTCACCTTTCTCTAATGCTTATTATTTCCCCTTTACTTCCAATTAATCAGGAAATATACTTCTTACTCTTATATTAAGGTCCCATATCTACAAGAAGAAACAGAATGCATGTTGTACTATAAATGTTGTGCTTTTTGCCCTATGAGCTACTTAATAACAAAGATTTTTGTCTTGTTAATACTTATATACCTCACTGTCAGCACAATGCCTGGTGTACAGTATGCCCTACTGGTTATCTGTCATAATCCATATTAGTTTTAGAGTTAGGCATATTTGAATTTTTTCACTCTCATATGTGAGATTCCTTTTCTCTACTCCCTTTTTCTTTCCTCCTTGCTACATTTTCACTACCTTGAAAATTTTTTCTCAGGAATTTTTTTTTTTTCTGATTAACAGCCATATTAAATACTATAACATATAGTTCTCAAGAAGTAAAACATATTTCCTTCTAATCCTTATACAGGATAAAATTAGACAAAAGTGAATTGTTTTGTATAAGTGGTGATCAAGAAAATTCCACTTAAAAATATACTAGTAAATGTTCAAGATGTACCTAAATTTCATTTCACTGAGTGATTGGTACAATAGGTTGTTGGAATGATTAGGCCGTGCTTACCAGTTCTATAAAGCAACTGTTACTTAGGTGACATGTTTCCCTGACTTTGTTTTTTTGGTCCTTACCCAGACAATTATCAACTTTCCAGTTTTCTATGGATATGAAGATTTACTCCTAGTCATCAGTGGGACCCCATGAAGTCAGCCAGAAAGCCTATATCCAACTTAATGTATCTTTGCAAACTTGTCTGGATTTTTGAATGTATGTGCAAAGCAGATTGTACTTAGCTATTCATTAAACATCTATTGATCATCTACTGTCTGTCAGGCACTGTGCTAGGCATCTGAAAAACAAAGATGGTCCCTGCAGTTTACTGTGAAGAGGTATCTTAACTGTATTCCACAAGTGTATTGGTTATGTCTTTGTTTTGGTATTTCTACCTAAATAAATTTTTATATTAACTAAATAGATGCTGTTAGGTGAAAAAATACATGTTTAAGAAGGATATTGCTGTATTTTATTAAATACATTTATTAGAAAAATAAAAAGAAATTTTTCTCTTAATACTATATTCTAGGGATTTCTATTCTTTATATAGCTTACTCATTTTAGACCAAGAAAATAGTCTATGTGGCTACCATCGCTGAATTTTTTTTGCTAACTATAATTCTTTTATTTTAAGATGACCAACACTATTCATTAT